TATACCGTCGGGATAGCTAATGATGGCCTGGGAGCGCTCAATGTGGACCTCCACCGGTTGGTCTTGTAAGGATTCAAAGCCTACACTTTGACTCTTTCATATCTCTCCATAAGAAAGATACCAACGATCCTAACCAAGTTCTGGGTAATGCAAATGTTCTTTAGAGAGAGGGGTTCATCGTGGTATAGACTCGCATATAATCAGATAATATACTTCTGGCAGTAATTTAGAGTATTTTATAAAGTCCATCCTCTACGCCACATGATAAGGAGGATACCCAGGTGCAAGCGAATAGGCGAGGATTTAGGACAATTTCGCAAGGAGCTCGCTCGTTTCTGTCCACAACTTGGATTGGACCTTTTGGCCATATGGCGTGTCAACCCAACTGGGGTAGCTACCAAAAGAAATGAGGACAAGCATATATACTCGAGATTTACTCACCAGGAGACAGCACGATTTCTCACATAACTTCCGGACGGAATAGCATCTTCCAAACACGCCCATACGATATTCTCTGCGGCTTCTGCAGTCGTTATCGCAAAACACCGGTACAAGAACCTTCGATTCCAATTGGGTAGCTTCTTTACTTTCTCACTCTTGCAAAATCCGGGGTTTACGGCACAAATGATTACCTCGTCGTTGCCTTTCTCGCTGGAGGAGGAACAGAGTTGGGGGAGAAGTAGCAGGCCCATGAGTTTGGTGGTTCGATAGCGCTCATAGCCATCAAAGTTGTGAGGTTCGTTGAGCGAGTCGTAGATAACTGGTGCGTCTTTCTGCGAAAAGTTGGCCGCAAGGTGCGCTAAACGAAAGGGCGTCAGTAGGCGGAAGGTAAGAAAGAGGACTCTTACACCTACCATCGCTATTCAACAAGACTATATGCGGTTTAAACTCGCTACTGCATTCTGGAGTACCTATCTGTGCCGTTTTCGTCATCATAGGCGTGAGCAGTGAAGCAAGCAAGAATGTTGAAAGAACATTGGTCTGTACTCTGGGGAGTGGATGTATCGAAGCGTT